GGGGGGGGGGGGACGATGTCATGAAAAACCATCCGTGATGACCACAAGCTGAACTAATTCTCCAGCTTTTGAGCAATGTCATGATGTGCATTGTCAAAGGTCTGCAAAGAAGGTGCACGGATTATTCCGACGGCTGTGTGCACAAACAAGCAGATGCACACACATGCCGCGGCAGCCCGATGACTTAAAAGGGTGCTCGTGATTGTCATCGCGCTACGACAACGGCGTCTTTTCATTGGCCAGCCGATTATCGTAGCGGGGTCGACGCCAACTAAACAAGTCACACACATGCACGCAAAGCGTGTTCGCGTCAGTGATACTCTTTTACGCCTTACTGATACCGACGTCCGCTTTCTTCGGTCAGCAGGCTGTAGCGAGGTTGGTTGATGCCAAGAAAGGAATCAAACAAACGCAACGATGGAAAGTCGCCAACCGCAAGGACGCGAGACATCGCCCCGTCCCGCCCTCACACCGATTTTCAAGCTCGACTGCTCCACAACCAAGCCTGCACCACCAGCAAAAATGGTGGTTTGGGAAAAAATCTCGTCGATGGCCTTGCCGTAGACGCATCGGGCTATTTTTCCACACACGCTTGCTTGTGGAGCAATCGAGTCGGTCTAGCGGAGGTGCTGCCAACTATCGCCTCCTTGCGGTAACACCCAACCACAGCACCGGCGCAACTCCGACCCCTCCACCCCACCTGTCGGGCAACCTTGTCCAGCAGCCCCTCCACGTCGCGCTCCGCAGCCCCGAGGGACTCCGCAGTTTGCGCCGCCTCCAATAGCAGGGCACCTTCCGTGGACGCCTGCTCCGCCACGACTCCCCGAGTGGCGGCGAGCTCCACCTTGGTAGCCTGAGCGGGGAAGAAGTTCAGGATGCAGGCAAGAGCAATGGGCGCGGCATTTGGTTAGGGATATTATTCAGGCGACTGCAGCTGTGGGGGGTATTGGCGGACGGGACAACTTAACGACAAGGAAGACAAGAAAACCCCAAGTGTTGGAAGCGTTTATGGACAACGAAAAAGGCAAACGACAGCAAGAAAACAATTGGATAACAATCTACGGCCGGCAAATGATACCACGGGATGTCAGAGCAGAAAGGCGGGCGGGAAAACGCCAGACCCGACGTTTGTTGTGATTTTTTCAAAGTGCGGTGAGCGGCAGAGACCTGCAGTCCCTTCTCGGTAGACGCCAGCTTCGCTTGCAGCTCCGCCGCCTGGGCCCGCGACGCAGCCAGTTCCGCTTCCGCGCGCTGCAAGAGTTGTCCCGCCGCCAACACACAGGGAAAAAAATGGTCAACATCACGGGCTAGTACAAATGGAATGGACACAAGAAAAGTAGAAAGTAGGAAAACACGGGAAAAAAATAAGAAAAAAATGACAGTGTTTGGGGCGACACAACTGCTACAGATGCGGCGTAACATACGTGGTACGGCCTTGAAACCGAAATCGGAATATCCATGTGTACGACGATGCTTTGCTACATGCCAGCAATGAGAGTTGGAGATGTTTCGCGAGAGGGAACCACAAAGCTGTTCCGCCGCAACGCGAAAAGCTAGCATCATAACCACAGGTTACCACACGATCAAGACCGCAAAGATCAACCTTCTCGAACACATCTTGCAACAGACGGGCGGAGGGGCGGATGGAAGGAGAAAAACATCCAAAGCACCTGCTTGGCGAACACGAACGAAAACACGATCTACGGTGGTGGCCAACGTCATCCTTTCTCGAGTCTCCTCTAGGAAAGAGACGCTCGCATTGCCTCGACGATCGGACAAGCTGCCCGAAAACACAGACACTGTAGCTGCTCGCTGTGGCATTCACCATCCCGGACGGGTAGTCCTTCAACACTACGGCTATATGCATACATTTTCTGAAAGGGCGTCTTGTCGTACAGAACACAAGACACAACACGCGAAGGAGAGCAAGAAACCAAGCGCGACACCGATGGCAATCGTTTCCATAGGATAAGACTCACCTCTAGGCGGCCTCGTGTCTCTTCGAGCGTGGCGGAGACAGCCTTCTCCCGGCCCTTAGAGGCCTCCAGTTCCTCCTCCAACTCCTGCCCCTTCGCCTTGAAGGCGTCCCTCTCGGTCTGAAGAGCGATAAAACACCGAACAAAAATCACAACAGCCCATGCGCGCGTGATGTTTTGGTCGCTGGTGTTCTACCATCAATAAGCTACTCCATGATCAGAACCCAGTAATCTCCGCATAGAGATGGACTAACCATTCCATGTCGTGACACGCTCGCTCAGCCCGAACAGCCTCAAGCCCCGACTACACACAAAACTAGGATCCCCCCACTTGAACTGGAATCGACAATGAATCACCATATTCTGGGACCAATGTCATCAACCACCTGGGATGCCAACGCTGCACAGGACCGTTCAGCGTGTAGCGTTCCTTGACCACAGGACGGACGGTAGCGGTATGCATGCATCCAAATCTTCGCTCCAACTTGTTCAACAAGTGAGGCGTGCAGAGAGTCTAGGCAATCTTCAATCTTCTGCCAAGGCTCGACGCCATCTCAAGGCCACCAGACGACCCGTCGTGTGTCCTCTCTATATCCTAAAGCCCTCTCGCTGGCTACAGTAGCTAGCGCACCTTGAGCTCCTTGGTTTCGGTGTTGCGGCTGTGGAGAACGGCCTCCATCTCAGCGATCTGAACAGACCCCCCCCCCCCCCCCCCCCCCCCCCCCCCCCCCCCCCCCCCCCCCCCCCCCCCCCCCCCCCCCCCCCCCCCCNCCCCCCCCCCCCCCCCCCCCAACAGCAAAAACAACGCACACACGCGGCCAAGCGTCAACACACCAACATATCGTCTCGGAGCAGGGCGTGGGTTCACATCCAAGTTGACACCGACACGGGCTCAAAGGGGCGAGCGCAATGAACGATTTCGTGCGCACATGTTGTCAGGAATACGCGGTGGTTCCAAGAAGGAGCGACGCGGTCGTACCGGGAGATTCTTTTTGCGTTGCATGGCTACTTGGATTGACTATCGAAAACGGCTGGTAGAATCTTACGCTGCATGGCTACCTGGATCGGCTATCGAAAGTGGCTGGTAGACTCATACGCTGCATGGCTACCTGGATCAACTTCGAAAACGGCTGGTAGGATCCGGCTACCTGGATCAAGTGTCGAACACGGCCGGTACACTCTCATGATGCATGGCTACTTCGAATGACTATCGAAACCGACCGGGAAACTCTTACGATGCATGGCTACGGGGATAGACTGGACTATTCATCAAGAAAAAAGCCGGCACGCCACACCTCATGTTTTCACCGACTACAGGCATTGCATTCACTACGAGTACGTCCCGCACGATATTCATTTGGATGAGTCACACAGGGGGAGTCGCTACTTCAGTTGTTGCGGGGGGAGGGGGGTACCTGGTTCCCCTGGGAGGCCAGGGTGTTTTCCATCTGTTCGAAACGCCACGGCTCAATGTAAACCCCGTTCTTGTCCCTCGAGGCCTGCAACATCGACCGGAGGCTCTCCACCTGCCGACCACACGAGCGAACAAAGCACGCAGGACTATTTAGGGTTGCACTCGACCCTGCGGTCTACCTAGTGCGTGTAACCACCCAGTCCATCCAGGAACTACGGCACACCAAGGATGTAAAAAGAAACAAAAACACAAGAAACAAAAAAACAACAAAAACAAGAACGAAACGACATGGCTCACAGCAGTGATAAGCAAACACAAAATAGCAACAGCTACAAGAGATGAGGCACAGAAAAAGACCTCGGTCACAGCGCCGGGCACACCCTCACCCGAGGCCAAGAGCCTCGAACCTCGCAACGACAAGCACACCGGAGTTCAACGTTTAACCCTCCCCGCTGGAGGACGCGTGGCCGGTGGTATAGCCGCAATGGCATACTTACAAACCATAAGAGTGATGATAGATTCAGTGAAAGGCTTACACAAACTCAAAATAGGCCCAGGGTCCAATCGGTTTATCTCCACACTCACTGAAAAGACTTCAGCACGTCCCTTTCGACTGAGGTTACATCTCGAACGGGTAGGGTAGTCTTTCTGTGAGATTACAATTATTTTCTAAAAACATAAGAGCGTACGCCCCGCCCACCGGTTTCGAGGCCCTATTTCCACATGAGTCACCTCTCCGGCATATTCCTTGAGAAGGTGAGTCTTGCTGAGCTTCTGGTTGGCGACCGGCTTGTTCTGGATGCTCTTCGCCTTAAGGGCGTAGTCCAAGGAGCTCAGGGTCTCTTCCAGCGCATCCTGCATCCAAACCGGTGGTGTGAGTTTCCACGGAACATGCGAACGCAAACAGCCGACGGAGGTTCGCTCGTGGCACGAGGAAATGTCTAGGGGTGGTAAAGTGGTATAGTCGAAAAGCATACTACAAACAACAGCAGCAGCAGCAGCAGCAGCAGCGATGGCAGACTGGTCCCTGAAGCGATGCGTTGTTGGAAAAGAAACACTATATGGGTCGTCGTCGAACGCAATACGTTGATATGCACGAACCGGCCCGCACCCCCCC